GTTTCCTTTTGTAAAGCACAAGTGTCACATCACTTTTTTGAGACACTGTATCTTTTTTATTAAACTTATTCGATTCTTTTTCACAATTCGAAATTTACGTTCATTCTAAATAAAATTCGTCCGTTTTTGATTTATTTTTAATTTTGTATTTTTCAATAATTTTTATAAATTTTTCGAAAATTTTGAATTATAACCTATAAAATTTTTACCGTCATCTTAAAGTAAATGTATTTTCTAAGCATACATGCAAAAAATTACTTTTTTATTCACAATTTTAAAAGATGGTGAATTTATATATTGGCGTGTTTTGAAATTTGTCATATTTGTTATAAGGGATAATAACGCCAAACGTAGTCAATGCGATTTTTTAAATTTATTCGAAAGAAGAATAAACGGGGGACCATTTTTTCCGTCGTGCCACCATTAAAGGAAAGAAAAATAGGTTGCCATAAATTCAGTAGCTCGCGAAGTGAATTCTTCTTGGCGCAAATAGATAAATTTTTTAATTTCTTCATAAATTTCTCTCCAAAAATTACAAAATTTAATATCTAGGTATAATTTGAGTCTTAGAATCGAAATATGGAAAAACATTGGTATGTTATTTCATGAAAGTCCGATTTTTGTGTCAAAATACCTATATTAAAAGAACGTATATTAATCTAATACATATTCTAAGTTTTGCTTTCGAAACATGGGAAACGAAAGTTAAATTTCGACCAATCGATCTAATAGAACGGGATGTATACTAGAACTGTCTTATGGTGTGTGTAAAAAGTGTACATCCATATTTAAGCTAGCGTTTATTTTTTGCGTAGCTATAAAATATTTGCAGTATTAATTACAAAATAAAAATATTAATTTTTAGAATGGGCGAATTTATTGCATTTTTCCGTATGAATCCTAACCCTAAAGAACACAAATAACTAATTCCCCGTAGAACTTAATTTTAATTAATTAATTTTAATTAAGTTATTATTATTTTTTTAAGTTTTAAAGTTTTTTTTAAGTTATTATTAACTTTTTCTACATCTTACGACATGAGCCATCTTGTCTAGACACATCTACGTTAGTGTGTTTTCAGCAGTCTGGAATTTGGCCTTTCATTCTAAAAATCGATCGAGTCCTTGTGAAAGCATGACCTATTTACCCAATTTCATAATCACGTGTCTGTCGTACACCTAAAATAAAACTCACGAAAGCACTAAGAAACGGTGAAATATATATGAACCAAGAAAGGAAGACACTGCAATAAAAAATCAGTCTGGACTTCGAAATATAAAATAATTTCATAAATTTTAAACTCCCTCAGAAAGTCTTCTTTTAAGGTACATCAAAGGATTGGAGAACATGACTTTGTTCTTTATCGAAATTAATCTGTGGACAAACGGATTTTGTAACTGTAGTTCTAAATTTCACTTAAAATTGGATTTTATTGAACGTTTTGCTTTTCACTTTTATTCGTAATTATTACTGATAGTGTCGATAATATGTAGATTCGAAGATGTTGCTGTAAATTAATAATTCATTCGTAATGGTTAATTCCATCATAAAATACTAAATACGTATTTAATTAGATCCAATAATTTTCTTTCCGTTTGGTCAATTTTCTTATTTACCGTGTTATTGATCATTTCAATCGAGAAGTATTCGTAAAAATTATATAAAAACTGAACGTTTTCAGATTTTATATCACTACGCCTAAAGGGACTTTTTTAACGTTTTGTGTGCTAACTTTATTTATTAAATATCATGTTCTTGGCACTTAAATCATAAAATTCAGTTCAGCAGCAATATCGCAAAATAATTTTAAAATGAGCATATCTTTAGAATTTCCGATACAACCTCTCGCGAGCTGGAGATTTTTTTTTCCCGTACAGTGTTGCCATTTTCGCTTTGAAATCTTTGAGTTATTTGGTCAAAAATTTGTTAGTTTTACAAAATACGAAATCGATAATAAATTTCAAATTTCAAATTGGGTCTTCCATGCAGATGTCCATATTCGCAGCAGGATTACGTCATTCAAAATTGGATGGCTCTAGGTACCGTTGTTTTATGACAATGCGAGAAACATGCATACATTTATGCAGATTGTTCATTATTTTATTTCTTTTAAATATAACACATGGCGATAATATTTGGTGGCAACAATGTGAAAGGTGAACTGACGTTTATAGTGAACCAACGCAAAATGCCAAAACGAAATCAGTAGCGCTTTGGGCTAAGAAAATAATTATTACATTTTACATAAATTCATTTAGTATTTGCGCAAACACTTTTTTTACGCAATTATTTTAACTTGGTTCCTCTGCTAGGTGTTTTAAGCCAAATCTTTAAATGAATTTTTGGTTCACTTCAACCGACTTGAATATCTCAGATTTTCTTATGCATGCGTCTTTTCATGCTGTGAGAATATAATATTTCACAGGAATTCTTCCTGTGAAATATTATATTCTCACAGGCTTGTTTCGTTAATGAAACTTTCTGACGTATCCTTGTTTAACAGCCAAAGTATTTATCGCAGAATTTTGATCATTAAACCATCCAACAGACAGAAACATGATTTTCCAAATGAAAGCTTTTCAGAATTTGTTAAATAATTTTAACTCTGGCGGTCTTTTTAAAATTATTCAATTTTGTTTTTGTTGGTCGGGCAGCTGTTAACAATGATGGATTTCGTGTTAGCAGATACACGAGTTTAAAGGACGACGAGATTGGATTTTTTTAAAAATCAAATAGAAATTTAACTGAATTAAATGCAATCTTAAGCATTAAATATGTCTGAAAACTTTGGGAAAAGATGATGTCGCCTGTACTTCATTGCTATGCTTATTATAATTTTTCTGTGTTCAGAGGCGGTGGTTTTCTAATAAATACAAAACACACATACTTTCCAATATGGAAAATATACGTAAAAAGCTTTTTAAATTAAAAGTTTTAAGTTAAATTTTAGTTTTTAATTAAAACTGTTAAGTTAGTACGATCTTTTTACTTTCTTATTTCATTTTGGAATTAAATTAATGTTTCTGCACTTTATTGATACAAGTCAAAACTAGGTTCTTAATAAAAATCTCTCTTTGATAATGTTTGAAATTAATCAATTTCAAAAAGTATGAAATAATATTCAATTTACGAATCTAATGAGTACCATTTAGAAGAGGCAACAAAGATAACGTGTTGTTGTGGGTTAATTAATCCATTTCAGTCTCTGGAATATGTAGAGAGCACGAGAAAGATAACGCCGTGTTTTATTACAGATAAAATGCTGTAAATATAATTAAAATAATCGGCGAAATAAAGCTCCAGCCATACCGAATATTCTTTAACGTAATATTAAATACTTTAGATTTGATCAGAAAAATATAGGATCATCTTCAATGAAAAACTCAAGACATCGAATCGTTAAAGTGACGAGCATTTATTTTCCCCTGTCTTTTTTATGATCGGACACTTGATGGAAAGTATTTGTCGGGAAAGATAAATCTGCATACGCTTATTGAATACTTTGCTCTAAATTTATTGCCAAATTCTAAACTCAACGCAGTTTTTAGTATTTCTGCAATTGTTATTTTATACTTTTTCTTGCAAGGAAGAGGAGAGAGATCTAGAATTTTTTGGTAAAATTCTTCAAAGTGCTTTTGTGCTTCTAAACCTCGTCTATAGAACCGTCCACGTTTCGTTCAAAATTTCGCTAACTAAAGATTGATAGAAGTCATCAGCAGGTATCTTAGAATTATGCTCTATTTATTTATCAAATTAAAACAGCTGTTCGAGCAAAATTTCGTATTTTACATCGTAATGAACCAATTAAGTGCACAAGTGCGCAGTTATTACCCAAATTTAAAATAAAGCAAGATGCAAAAGGAATGCAGTTATATGAAGCTTCATAAATGAATAATGCAAGAAAAATAAGGAAACAAAATACGAGAATAAACGATCAAAAAATTATGTTCTTATAATTTGTGCACATTCGTTTGTAACGCACAAAAGGTTAAAAAAAAGTCCCTTTGGGCGTATGTAAAACCTGAAAACTTTCAGAGTTTTAAAATTCTTTTTTTATGTATTTTGTTTTCTAAATTTAATATAATTACTTTTCAGCGCCCAATGAAAATAACGTTTCAATTTTTTGGAGAATATCACCTGTATATTTTTTTAGCATTTTGAATGAAAATACTGAATTTATACCTTAAAATAAAATAACTCCTTTTTATAAATGTAGAGTCTGTTAGTACTCGACCATACCGTCGTACACGAAGTTTTAACCACGGCAGGTAAAGGTTAAAAGTAAAATCCTACATAAAAGACCAGTGGCATAGCTAGGGTTGGCAAGGGGGGACATCTGTCCCCGGGCGCAGCGCCCAAGGGGCGCCAAATGGATGCTACGGAATTTTTTAATGAATGTTTTTCCATTCTTGGCACATAGAAAGGGGCGCAAATTCTTCAGTTGTCCCCGGGCGCTGGAAACTCTAGCTACGCCCCTGTAAAAGACTGTGTTGAATTTTTCCCACATTTACAGTATAACATAATTATTCAGAAGTTATTTAGTCAAATCTATAATCTTCATTACGACACGAAAAAAATATATACAGTTATTTAATTTCGCGTGCATCTTTCGTCTTCTTGTACATTTTCATTAATTGACAGCATCCGGGATGCCCTGTATTCGGTTAGTGTTATAAAATTAAATCCGAACAGACAAACTTGACAAATCATTCCGTCTATCGCTAGATTTCGCGCCAAAGTGTAGAAATTTCAGTTCAGTATCCCTATTCTCTATTGTAATAAATGAAATAAAGAAAATTTTAAAAGAAAAGAAATGGGGGAAGAAGTCCAATATCGCAGACAGCAATGTCTGGGGAATTTACTGAATGAAGCAGACGCTACATTCACCGTAGACGTAGTCTGCCGATCTATAAGCTGCACCGTTGAAGTGAACGTGCAATTCCGCGCAGATCCCGGGAAAATTTGGCGCCTTTTCTTCACTCCCCGTACACCCCCTTTGCCCAGCATCTTTCCAAAATCGACGGCCTCGTCGCCAGTCGATGGTCTGTCTGCATTGGGGGAAGGTCGACGACTTATACAAATTTTATCCACTATCGTTCATTTTCGCTTGGTGGATAAGGAAGGACAGTTGTACCAGGCGATGTCTCGGGACAGCTGGTAAGTATAATAAATGCTACAGAATTGTTTTAAAATTAATTTAAGAAATTACTTCTAAGTTATTATCAGTTATAGTATATCTCAGTTGATATGTTTTACCTTTTGTATAAGTACTGTTTCCCATTGTTATTTTTTTTTTGTGTGTGTGTGTGTGTGTTCTTCTAACACTTTCAAAAAAATTACTTAAATAAATGTCTTTAAAATGCCATGTAATATCCCTTTTTATAACGTACAAGAAAATAATTAATTAAAAATATTTTTAAAAAAAGCACATTTCAGTACTAGTTTATTTAAATTTGCTTTTCTGCAAGAACTAATGTTCAGAATGATTTTATACATGTATTAATAGGAACAAAAGGGGGGTTAGCATAATTTAATTTTCAGGAAGGAAAGTAATGAAGTCTTTGCTAATAAAGTGTCCTAGTTTCTTTAATGAATCCGTTTTTTACATTATTAAATACCTCCAAGGAAGAATAGTTCGATTATTGGTGAAGAGTTAAAATAAGTGGTTATTGGTTCAAGTGGAGATGTGTTCAGTTTTTAGCCCACAAAATAATATATAAAAATTAAAATTGTAATTAAAATAATTTTGAATATTGTTTTGCATAATATAATATATGAATATATAAGTAAAAAATAATTTTAATCTTTTTTCGATTAAATATTTAAGTTTTTACTTTATTACAAAACCTCTAGCATTTTTTAAAAAAAGGTAGTTTTATTTTTCTATAAATTGGCTTTAAAAATTAACTAAACCAGTTTCTTAAACTGTGGGTCGCATAACCCCTCCCCAACCAAAGGGAGGGAGTGCAAGACCTTGCGGGAAGGGGGTCTTCAAAAATTATAGCAGTTTTGATATTTGTGTAACTTATTATAATAATTTTACAATTACCAAATGTTTTTACATAGTGTGTCTGAAAATAAAGATAAGACAATGCAAACAAAGAAAAAAGCTTCAACGTATTCTTTTTATAATATAAACATTCATTTTATTTGCTTTGCAGGTGATGTTGTCATTTCTTCTGTTACTTATGTAAAATTTTCACATTGTTCTTTGTCTTAAAATTAGAAATTAAAGTTAATGACCTAAAACTGCAATAGTGTATTACGGTATAAGTGAAAAAATTGACGGTTTCACTCGCACGTGTATCAGATTTGTGCAATGCTTATGGGGGTCCCACAGAATTTTCGTAAGTGTTACGGGCGAACAAAAAATTGATAAAAAGGGGTCGCAACTGAAAAAAGTTTAAGAAGCCCTGATCTAAATGGTTGTGTTTCTTACAACACAGAAACAGTTATGTTTGAATATAATTTCTACTTAGAAAATGTGGTTAAAAAATATTTACTCTGCTTACTTTAGTCCATATTTTAAGTTTTCTTGTAAATAAATTTTTCTCTTTTGAGGAAAACAGCATAAAACTTCTTCCTGTAAGATTATAATTTTGATTTATTTTGTTTCTAAAGATTAATGTTCTGATATACCAAAGATGCATAAAGATTAATGTACCAGAGACGAAATAAATATGATTTAAAATGTAATATGAATTAAAACATTACTATTATATGTATTATAAATAATATCGATTAAATTTTGGTGAAAAAAGCAACCTTAGTTTGGCTTAGTTTTGAATAAAACTTTTTATTTCAAGGAACATAGGTCCTTGTTCTTCAGGAACAAAACTTATGTGCAACTTAAGTTTGCTTTTGTGTCTAAGTCTGAATATTACTATGGCACTTTTTTCTTCATGTCTGGAAGAATATAATTTTAGTTTCCTTGCTTGTTAGAAATCGAAGAACAAATTATTGAATTTCTTCAGATTTTATCCTTATAATTGTGTAAAAGAACCAATACCTGATCCTTTAACATGCTAAATATCGTATAAAATATTAGAACAAAAATTTTTTATCTAGTCCGGTAAAAGTTGTTGAATATATGCATTGTAATATCGTAGACTACCGTGAAAATCAGAATTGCAGAAAGGTATGAAAACTTTATTTCTCGGCTAAAATATAAACAAAAATACTATTTACCATCAAAATAGTTGAAGAAAAAGCATTAATACATTGTCGTCTGATGCGACTCCTCAGGATCTTGTTTCCACGAGGCAAATCTCCAAAAGAGAATTTCTTTTGGCTGGTGCGTGTGCTCCATTTTATCTCCATGGAACGATGGAATGAGGACATCTGATCTTGTGATATTACTCTAGATGTGTTGATTCATCTCTGTATTCACATTGGTTCGAAGGAACATTCCCGAAACGTTGCCACATAGTCAGGCTTTAACCATATGGGAACTGTTCAGATGCATGTAGAATATATTAAAATTCCCAGTCTTTACACTATATATGCACATAAAAATGGTAATTATATAGGAGGTAATATCGAGGCTATTGTAATTTTCACCTTGAGGAGATTTTGGGGTAGTTGCGTCGCTAATATCAGTATGTTTTAAATTTATCCTTCCATAGCGTTGACAAGCAGTTAGTTGCACTTAAACATAAAGAAAAGTCTTAGAAGAAAGAAGTAACATAATAATGCATAATTTTAAGTGATAAATATGATACAGTATTGATGTAATATGCAATCTACCTCTTTTGCGGTTATATTGTGGAACTGTAAAACCAAGAACTTTCGGACAGTACTAATGTTCAAACAATTAAGCCTTGCCGAGGGATTTTCGAGCTTAATATTGTACGTAAGATGTGGAGTACCATGCTATGTTGCAGAAGCATGGACAGTAATTAATAAAAGTGATTTTTTGGTTATACCTCACAACATTTATAGTATATGCAGCTGAATTATTTATAAAATAATTATTTTGTGCGACACTTGTAATGCATATATTATCTTGCAAAAGCATGATGGAAATTACTTAATAAAAGTGCTGATTAATTTTTGGTCTTGTTGTGCAGCGTTCGTAATGTGTACTGCTGAAGATCTTTAAAAAAGGGCTTTTTAAAGGCCAATCTTGCTTTTGTTTTGTAAAATTGAAAGAAATTGAACTTAAATAAGTTACTAAATTAATGACTGGCATTATTTTCCTGCATGTATTCTTAATTAAGCTGTAGGTCGCATATTACATACTTAATTGTTTCAGTAGACATCATATAAACCTTTTGATATTTAAAAATTGTATCTTATGAAATTGAATGTTAAATTTCCAAGTTTGGGTGACTGATAGTGACTACTTTAATACAGAAGTGCCATAAATGTATATAGCTAAATAAACTTTCCCTGCTCCTGTCTTTGGAAACCACTTTCACCAGTTATTTTTAATCAATGTTTGTGTGAAATTATTTAATGGTCAAAGCAAATGCTTGATAATATTATGGAGCTATTGCCAGATTTAAATGGCATTTTTGATAACAATTCATCATAAACACTTTTTATGTGTAATTATGCTCTGGAGTAACTGCTTGTTGTTCTAAATTTAGTGTAATATAAAATGGCATAGGAGTATTCATATCTGTGGATTATTAATTCTAAGAAATGCATTTTTCTGTTTACTTTAGCAGTTCTACTTAAGAAATACAGCTGTAAATAAATTTTAAAAATGTTTCATCTATTTCCTAAGGAAGGAGTTTTAGACTATAATAAAATAGTAATAAATCTGTCCTTGGGAATGATTCAACTTGTGCATGTATGTGCTTGAACATTAATGGAGGATATAAAATTTTTTAATGTGGTGAAATGATTTTTGGGATATTTTAGATTCTTCTGTTGGCTAAAATGCCATGGGTCGCCAATGGCATCTTTTGGGCTCTTTTCCTCTCTCTGTTCTTCATTTGGCCAGTTTTTCTCTGGGTAATTTTAATAATGGTAAAGTCACTTTAATACAATCCACACATTGGAGCCAGGAGCTTGCTGTGACTTATTTTTCCATTGGTGAGGAAGAATTCATTTGGAAAATTTGACCTCCAAATTGTATTTTATTGTAATGCATTTGATAATATCATTTTATATGATGCTTTGTTTTATGTCATGATAAGCTACCAATATTTGCAGCACTTTTCACCAAAGAATTCTAAGATTACACAATGTGACTGTCATGGAAATGAAAAGGCAGATTTGATGGCAAAGAAAAGACCCAATATTCTCTAAATAACTAATAAATGCATCTCTTTCTGAACTGCCAAAAGAATAATAAAAAATTACTATAGTGAAGTATTTTGGAAAGATGTTATTGAAAGGAAAAGTCTTAAAGTATGGATTAACAGAACTTTGGACATTTCATCTTGGTCCAGAGAGAGATCTATCTTTTGTCTTGTTACTACTGTCTTTTAAAACATCTGCATCGAAGGAACATTGTCCCAAGCCTAATTTATAAATTGTGCAAATTTCATGAGGAAATTATTTATTATTATTATTGTAAGGTATTTTCATATTCTTTTTACTAAATTTGACATGAGGATGCAATGTAGTCTTAACTTTTAATTTTTATATATATAATTATAAGAAGTAATGTAAAAGTATTATATTGTACATATTTTTCTATGTATTTAATTACAAGTAAGTAATGCAAAAGAATTTTTATGGCTATAAAATTAAATTGAAATTTTTTCACATGGTGTTAAAAACGAGTTACTTTATTACAAGAAACCGATTTTTTTTTTTTTTTTTTTTTTTTTCTAACCAACCGATTTTTTTTTTTTTTTTTTTTTTTTTTTTTTTTTTTTTTTGGTTGTTGTTGTTGTAACTAACTGTATTTAAGGGTTCCTTGGCTATCAGCAGGTGGTCATGCTGATTCATTTCTGAGGACCAGCCTCAATTTTAATGAAGTATATTTTTGTATTGTGTTTTGTTTATTTTAATTATTAGATTGCTCTGCAATAAGAACATGTGATTTTATTTTAGATTGTGTGAAAAAATTTTAACTTTAACTATTTTGAGTTTTATAGATAAATAATTGAAATATTTTGGTTTTTGTTTTTGCAAAAGACTTGCAGAAAACTATTAAAATTGATTATTTGAGCTTCAAGCTACATTGCGTCAAGAAATTTCAAATTTGGACTCTAAATTCTATATATAGAATATTTTGTTGGTACTTCTAAATTATATCTTGAAGCCATTTATTTGTACAAAATTCCCCTTCAGTTGCTAATGCTTTGTCTTTTCTGTTGCTGAGCCTTTTTTCCCTTGAAAGGGGAATGATATATTGAAGATACAAAAACATAAAGAAAAATTTATTTATAAATTAAAACAAATTGGCAAAAGACTTTTAAATTATTAATTTTTAATTAAAGTACAACATGTTCAATGTATCTGTTTTTCCTACATTGTTATAGAGTTTTGCCAAATTGCTATCCAGAAGTAGTACTTTCCAAGCTTGTGAAGGTACTGTAATAAAGCATGCATTCTTAACCATTTTGCCTTCCTCCTGGCAATAGGCTGGACTCTTTAACTCCACTTAGCCTCTGCTGGCTGTAAGATGTAACTATGTATCTAAAATTGTGGGACACTTTTAGCATTCCTATTGTTGTATCAATTAAGAGGATATGTGTTAAAAAAATTCCTTGTCGAGAAATAAAGGATGTTTAAATATCAACCTAGTCGTGCTTCTTCCAAAATTCCATCCAGTTATCTACTACATTGAAATTTCCAGTCACCTGTATGGACCCACCAGCGGCCGAGCGGTAAAGTCGCTGAACACTGGTAGTTCGTTCCGAGGTTCGAATCCCGCGAATGGGCTGGCTGCATGAGCGTTTTGATGGTTTTCCCCATGTGTAACGTGTATACGAGCCAGTTTCCCTTAGAAAGTCCTCCACGAAACCATCCCTCCCTTTAGGCAGATTGCTTTAGTGTGCTTTCCCGTAATTAAATACACCACTACTACACCAGTGAGCTGTACAGCAATTTTCTCGGACATGATTATATATAAATTGCACCTATATTAGTTGCATAGTGAGGAAATTGTATATTGATATAATATTTAATGATGGGTCATATATATCTGAAACTGTATTATTACAGGTACAAGAAGAGAAGAAAAAAAAGATGTCATGATCTACAAGTATAATCATACAGAAATCACCTAACATTTTCTTTTTTTTGATGTGGTAAGTTTTTGCATCTCTTTGAAAAATATTTTTTGGAATTTAGCATCAGTACTCTGTATAACATTATTTTGAATTTATATACAGTACAAAGTTAAAAATCCTGAACTAACAATTCGTTTTTCTAAATTTTTTTGTGGAGCAGAATGTTGTTGCTCAAGCTGAATCAGATCTGATGAAATACCAAAGAAAATGGTACTCGCGTGTTATTGGAACTTGATTCAGGAATATATGTATATGCACATTTATGTATGTATATGGACATATATATATGCATATATATTTATATATGTGCATATACACATACAGCATTTACATATACATACTGTCACAAAAGAATATATGTATCTAGATGAAAACAAAGTAATATTATAAAACTTAACATGTATGTAGTGTATAAGGAGATAAATGATTACAAATTCAGAACAAAAGATCGTTTTATTAAGAAGTTATGGCATGAAAAAGGTTAGAAATCAGTAAGTAGTATGGCCATCTCTGGCAGCTATACAAGCCGAAACACAGCTTGTCATCGAATCAAGTATGTTACCTATGATCCCCAGGGGAAGATCTTTAATCTTTGCAACTGGGCAGTTAATTTACCAATATTCCGGAATGGCTTCAGTTAGCTTGCAAGTGTGTCTTAAATGTGCTCTATTGGCCTGGTGACCTGGCAGGCCATAATATCTCTGCAGACGTTGTTTGGGAGTGGATGAGCATCGTCTTGTTGGCGACTGACACGTGAGCAACTTGTTAGCATAGGCTGGCCTGACCTTGTCCAAAGGTGTGTGCATTGGTAATCAGTGTTTTAATCATATTAATATTTATTGATCTATAATTAAGTTCATTACAACACTTTCACATAGCACATTGTTTATTCCAGACCAATATCAACTGACAATTACTTCACTTCAGTTTGACCAGCAACTAGTGTGTTGCCACATATATGTAACATCTCCCCTCTTTTGGGGAAATTCATAGGAATCAATGCATTAGATGATTATCATATTTGGAGGGTTGATATACATTGTGACCACTTCTTGTTTTATATACACAATCACGATTAATGTTATTGCTATTATTTTGATGGTGAGGATCATTATGTATTTTTGGATGTTCAGTACTTATATTTTCCTCATTCTCATTACATAGATCATAATAGTCTAATGTCACTAAGTTCTGATTTTTAGTTTTTCTTAAATGGAATTTATTCCGTCTACCTATTGTCTTTTGTTTTAATCCAATATGATCTAGGAGTTGAATGCTTTTTTAAAACTATAGCAGGTTCCCATTTATTTTCCCATCTCAATATTACCTTTTCCCTAGGAATAAATTCCGGTCTTTTCCTTGCATGCTATCATAAGATTTTAGTCTGTTTCTACTTACTCTTCACCTTTTCTTTATATTGATGTTTTCCAGTTGGTTTCAATTCTGTGTGTGTAATTGGTAATCGTGTTCTTAAATTCCTACTTAATAGCATTTGACTTGGTGATAAATTTATACCTGAAATTGGAGTATTTCTATATTCCAGTAAAGTCTCATTTAATTTCTTTAATCCTGCTTTTCTAAATAAAGTCGTAGCTATACCTAGAAACTTTTCTGCAAATCCATTAGATTTAGGATATCAAGGACTGCTAGTGATTATTTCAAATTCCCAATCCCTTGCTTCCCAACTCTTCATTTTCCAACTATTAAATGGTACATTATCACAAATTAAAGTTTTGGGTATTCAATGTGTTGCAAATATCGATTTCAATTTACTAGTAACTTCCACTGCACTTTTTTTTTAAAGGAATTATGTCTACCCATTTAGTTAAGTAACAGTCTATTACTAGATAAATTTTCCCTGCATACTCACAGATATCAGCACCAACCTTTTCATAAGGTAAACTGGGAATTTCATGAGAAACAAGAGGTTCTTTTACTGTTTGAGGCCTGAACCTATCACAAATTGGGCATTTAGAAATCATATTCTCAATGTCACTGTTGATTCCTGGGCAAAATAGTACTTTTCGAGCCCTAGCTTTTGATTTTTCAATCCCACTGTGAGCTTCATGTAATAATGTTAACATATACTTTCTTAGTGCAAGAGGTACTACAATTTGATTATTTAAAGAAAAAAAAAACGATCTTGTTCAACACTCAACTCATTTTTAAATTTAAAATAAGATCTTGCTTCTTTAGGAACTTTATCAACACTTGAAGGCCATCCATTTTGCGAATAGTCTTTCACTAACTTTAACCCTTCATCTTCTAATGTAGCTTTCTGAAATTCCCTTTTCTTACTCTCGGACATTTGCAGTTGTTCTGTTAGTGTATGAACAATATCTGTCATATCCATGTTTTCATTTGTGTGTGTATCAATAAAAGAACGTGACAGTAAATCTGCAATATACATATATTTCCCAGGCAAATATTTAAGTTTTAAGTTATATTTTAAGAGCTTAATTTTTATCCTTTGCAGTCTATTTGAGAATGCATTAGCAATATTTTTGTTCATAATTGAAACTAATGGTTTATGATCAGTAAGCACTTCTACCTCTCTACCATAAATGTAATAGTGAAATTTATTAACAGCAAATAAAATACTAAGAAATTCTTTCTTAATCTGAGCATAGTTTTTTCTGCATTATTTAAACTCGGAGACGAAAAAGCAATTGGTTGCCCATTCTGCAATAAGCAGCCTTTAGAACTATCTGCCTGTATAGTTATAGGTTTACTGCTGTCAAACATTCCTAACACAGGTGCATTGGAAATTAATTTTTTTATTCCTTGAATGCTTTAGAATGTAGCTGTAACCACTGCCATTCTTCTTTGTTTTTCAAAAGTTTCTTTAATATGACTGTTTCCTCTGAAAAATGTGGTACAAATTTCCTCAAATAATTACACATTCCCAAAGCATGCTGTAAATCATGCTTATTCTGAGGTTCCTGTAACTCAGTAATGGCTTTAATTCGATCAGGATCAGGTCACATGCCTGATGCATTAAATAAATGACCTAAATATTTAACCTCACTAACCCTATATTGAAGTTTTTGCTTGTTGAATTTAATATTGAGTTTTTTAGCTCTGTTGATGACCTCTGTTAAAATTTTATCATGTTCCTGTATAGTGTTAGCAGCAATGAGGATGTCATCAAAATAGACTAATACTCCTGGTATATTACCAAAGTTTTCAAGATTGCATTTCTGAAAAATTTCAGGTGCACAGGAAATACCCATTGGAAGCCTTAAGAATTTATAGCACCAAATGGTGTGCTAAAAGTACTATTATTTCCATCTAACGCTATTTGAAAAAAATCTATCCTTCAAGTCCAAAACAGAGTAAATTGATTTATCAACAACACTCTCACTCTTACAACACTCTCGCATAGCACATTGTTTATTCCAGACCAACATAACTGACATTTACTTCACTTCAGTTTGACCAGCAACTAGTGTGTTGCCACATATATGTAACAATCAGCAGGGAGACTGAATCAGAATTCATCACTGAAGATCATATGTGTCCAGTCTGTCCGTACTCCAGCTTGGCAGAGTTTGACAGAAATCCAGTTGACAGTGTCTATGATGTGGGTTGAGTGGTAGGCATGATGTGGGTTGAGTGGTAGGCATCTTAGTCGACGTCAGGAGCATGTACCAATGTCACCCACTCATGTCTGAATTGTTTCCCTGGATATCACTGGATGCCTGGAAGGTTGTAAACGATGTCGGGTCAATGCTAGCAACATTGTTGAGCACAAGTGGTCAATCTTATGATTGTGCAATCCTTGTGCTCATTTGTGTTCTTGGTGTGCCCTGACCCTCCACGGAGGTAGACTAACCCATCCGCGATCTTCCGTCGGCAACATCGAGGGACTACTACATCGCTCCAACCGAAGTGGCAGCTGATGCCTGTTCAACCAACGTGCTTCTACTATATGCCCCTTCTGAATGTCTGACAACTGTTTGTACTGTAGTCGGTTATGTCTCGAAGGCATCTCTAGTCACAATACCATCCATGTAGGTCGACAGATTCGTTTGAATAGTCCTTATGACATGAGCAATCGTGCTTTTAAACTCTCCCAGCTGTGCATGTCATATGTGCAAAGCGCTTTTACCCTTGTCTGATTGCCATCGAAACTTAAATCGTTTGCATATCCCTGCTGAGTTTTGTGAATACAGCTCGGCTTCTTGGTGCATATATTTTTTGTGACGGAGGGTATATACATGCATATGGACATATATTCATATAACATATATTTCTGAATCTAATTCTGATAAGATTTCTGTTATTTTATAAAATAGAGAATATTAATAATATATTGAATAATCTGTTTAAATGCTCCTATGAATTGTTTATATCTTTCCTTTTCTTCGAACGTTATATACACCATGTAGTTTTCGCCTTTTGATTTTGAGGCTGCGAAATGAGTAAAAATTGTAAATATATAAATAAATACAGCATCTATATGGCTGCATTTTTCAAAACTACTTTTCAGATATCATTTAGAGCAGTGGTTCTGAACCTTTCGACTAATGCGTACCATATAAACAAAGATTGAAAAAACCTTTAGTACCATCACTACAAAGTACTACTACCACCACCAACTTTTGAACAAAGCTCGGATTGCATAAATTTACGATTGTTAGAGAAAAAATCTGGATGTTGGAGCTTTAATTTTGGAATTTAATAGTTAAAAATACTTTGCATACCACCTATTTTTTCTTTTTGTATCACTGTTTGAGAACCCCTGATTTAGAGTTAATGCTCTAAGTAGCTTAATTGTAAACAGTGGTCATGCAATTTGCTGCAACTTTTTGCTTATTTCCTTGTTTCTTAAAACTCTTTGCTTTTTTCTTTCATCGTCTAGAAATCATGCTAATGATCTAAAAATTATGAAAAAGGTTTGAAATTGGGCAAATCTATGTAATAACTGTAAGCACAAAATTTCATGAATACAAAATGGTTCTTCAGAAATAAGTCATGAATACACTTAAAGGGTTGATATTTGTCTTCCATAATGTTAAACTAAATTTTTTTAGTTTTCTGTGATGATGCATATTTAATCATTTGTATTTGAATTTTTTTTTTTTTTTTTTTTTTTTTTTCAGCTGACAGGTTTTGAAAATTTCTGATACAAGAGGAAACTTCATTGAAAAAAAAAAAAAAAAAAGTAAAGCATGCCTAGGAAAATGCATAAAGAGACTTTTGTTATATCTTTCCATTTTACTGTTTGATGAAAAATCCATATGTACATCATGTGTTTTTAATGCAGTTCTGTTGTGTTTTACACTTTTTTACTAAAAGATCAACTCTGAATTTTAAATGCCACCAAGTGTTTGTGCTGATCACCACAAACTGCTCATATTTTTTCAAGATTTTAACTTTTGTTTTTATTCAGAAGGTATGCTCAGAATATAATCTCATTTTATAATAAAATAGAACTTTGAAAATAATATGCTTGTATTCACTGTACGATGTACTTTACACATTATTTTCTTTGTTTTCTGGAGAATATTGCATGAGTATTTGCAGTTCATTTGTAATTTGTTTGTGTATGTAAATGTTCCTAGTTGTGCAGGTATTTTAACTTTGTGATGTATCTTTTCTTCATTAATATGTGTAGTAATGTAATGTTTACGCGAATGATAAATAAACCCCACTTACTAGGTAATGTGGGGCGAGATTTACATAAGATTTAAGACCCCGGTGAAGAGAAAATTCCAAATGGGATTTCTCATTTAAATAACTTTTTCCTTAAATTTTAGCTGTCTGTTGCAGCACTGATTGTATGCTTTATTGCGTAGTATGCTTCATGGTTTAAAACTGTTGTCCAAGGGTTTTAATGTTGCCTGGAATCAAAATCGTTATAAAAACTGTTATAAAAGTTTGTATATAAAACTATTACTGCATTGTTAAAAAGAAAACAAAAGTCGGAATAAGTAACTATTATTTTTTCTTTACTAAATTTAAATGTAAGCAAGTTTTTTTAAGTTAAATGAATGGAATTCTTGCAGAAATTCAGTTTTTCTTTTTTTCTTTTTTTTTTTTTTTAATGTATAATCATAGTAAGGTATAATAGCATAATTTAAAGTAATGAAAACATGTTACTGCAAATTTATTTGATATCTCAGTTAATAAATATTATTGATTTTGATTCTGGTACATTTCTTAGTGTACAATATATTAGTTCATTACTGTGTTATGCATAAATTAAATTTGTAGTTGGGTATATTTAGCTCTAGAACTTCATAAAAAAGCAAAGCAATCATGCATTACATACTCTTTCTAATAAAATAAGTCAACAGTTACAGGAAAAAATCATATTAATATTTAATATAATTTTATAAAACATTAGTTGGAATTTCAGTACTTTCAAAAATTCTGTTTGTTATAGTTTCACACTCTATATTAATTTCCTCAACAATAGCTTAGCATAATAATTATTTATTGTAGTAATTAATTGGAATACTGTACATTGTTGTTTTGAGAGCAACTTAAATTACATAAATGGGTTTTAAGCATTAAGCATTTTGTAGGTAGGAGGCACCACTTTCAATTTGGAAAATGTGTATGTGAAGCCTTGTTATTATAAATTTTATTTCATAAAAACCTTTCCAGGTTTGGTATTGGAAATCTTAATCCTCTAAGTTGATAAATTTTAAAACATGCAGTGGTATTTACAGTTTCAGAATGATGCTTGTTTAGGTTTGGTTTAATTATATGGCAAAGCACACCAGGGCTATCTGCCTAAGGGGGGATGCCTTTGTAGAAGACTTTGTAAGGGGAACTGGTTCGTATACAAGTTACACAAGGGAAAACTACGAAAACGCCCATGCAGCCAGCCCCTTCGCGGGATTCGGACCAAACTGCGGGTGTTCAGCGACTTTACTGCTCGACCACTGGTGGATCTGATGCTTATTTAGTTTTTAGAATAAAACTCATTTATTTAATTATAGAAGGAATTTAAAGATTATAATCCGAAACCTGGTAAAAGATTAAACTTCTTTTAAATTAAAAGGTAGAGCAAAGAATTGCATTTGTTCGAAGGATATTTTTATTCATTTTTCCCCCATATATATTTTGGTTAAAAAATACAAATAGGTAATTTTACTTCTAGTATATTTAAGTAGAAGGATTTCAACTGGGCTTCACCAGGAATGGCTTTGCAGAATGGTTTTTAACGACTTGTACAGACAGCTTACACTGCCAGGTTGCTAACTACCATAAAATAATATTTAACACAGCTGTTCCGTGGAAGAATAACAAATGTATCTCTGTAATCTTCATGTGCAAATTTTAGATTTTTGAAACCTCTGTAACGGCTATAAATGATTTCTTTAAAAATAGCTCTGAAATTTCAAAATATAGACAAAGGAGTTTTAATTTTTAACATCTTGAATACAAAAGGCCATTTCTAAAATTTCACTTAATATGTAAGCATGATGCTGTGCTTTTTTATGTTTTTGCTTTAAAATGCACTATTGTCTAATTGTCTAATCCTGTTGTAAATAATTTTGAGTTTAAATGAAATGTCAGCATATCTGGAAGTTAAAAGAGAAATTCGATAGTGATATTTTAAAATTTATGTACTAATTATTTGATATGAAGTTAATTTAGCCATCATAAATCTTTTACAAACTAATTGTATATTGTTAAAATTCTATAATTAATATTTTCTATTATAATTCAGATTGGATGTTCAAAAGTCTATTTATAAAATTAAGTTGGTAAAGTTTAATTATTCTAAAAGGCATTAGCGGTTCAATATAAGATACTCTGTGCACAGACTTTAAGCACTTAGTAATGTATAAAAGGTGTATATGTTAGCAGAAATATTAGAAAATTTTGTGAAATTCATCATAAATTAAAATATAGCATCATTTGTATCTTTTAATTTAATTTGTATTTTAAGAAAAGAATAAAATGTCGGTCTTGTCATAATATCGGAGTGGTCTGGATTATTTAACGCAAAGCTGATGAAAGTTCATATATTGCGGTGTTACCTGTAATCACAGTGTTACTTGAGAATCTCCCAAAACAATATTTCTTAAGATTTAAAAAATTGTCTTTATGAATTATCACATTTTCCATAGATAAATGGAACAATAAGCACCACTTTTTCAGAGAAAAAGAGGTAAAGCCAATGTTATCGAATTTCTTACCTTCATATTGTACTGTAAGTTTCAAAAAATGAGAAATGATAACTTATTGGTATTGCATAAGGTAGCTAGGTATTAAAGGACTAGCATTCATTGCAGTGTTTGAGAAACTTGGGATAGAGTATTTTATTCTGCAGTGAATACTCTGTGAACAAGTGCATAACTTGGCTTTACTGTAGTGTTTCAAAGTATGTTTTTCTGAATGTTGGTGGATTGTAAACACTGCCAGGTTGCTTATAACCATATAATATGGAATAATGTTAATTCTTAATATTTGTCCTGTCTGTTTCAGTTAATTAGTGATTTGTTAAAAGTTAAAATTTAAAATGTATGATTAAATAATTACATGAAAGAAAATAGGGCTAAGAATTCAGTGGTGTATGCCTTTGAATTGTATTTAAATGTGATAAAACATAAGACTTTTCTGCTTAATGGGAAAGATACCTTTGCAAACAACTTAAGGAAATTTTCTTAGATCTACATCATTAAGAAATGGAGGGGGGGAATAACAGAAACTGGAAGAGTTCAGATAATGATTAAGCGTCATTCATGGGCCTAATAGTATATTTCAGCTAACATGTATACACTTTTAACTACTATTAACAAATATCTGTTGTATTGGTGCATGTCCATTTATCTTGCTTCTTTAATAAGCCTTCTAAAAGTTGGATATTGTAAAAATGTAATTAAATGTTTTCTATATCAACATATGCTGTACACTTCAGGTATTTGATTTTGTTTACTGTATGTTATTATATGTAAGAAATCATTTTGTTTTGAATATCAAATAATAAAGCTACAATAAATTTTTTTAATGTTTGAAATTGTTTCAACCATTTATTGAAAATTTGTTATAGTTTTTAAAACCCATCATTTTGTCTCTAGTATAATTTTTTTTTACTTTCCAATAAAGCTTTTTCTGTTTGTACTTGATTCCGTACGTATCATGAAGTTTATATTGACTGTGCAGGTTGAGATATTTTAATGCATACTGTGTTATCTTTATAACTTGTAAAAGGTGTAGTTGATACGAGTAATGCAAGTTGAAAGCTAGAATATTGTAGTGTCCATGGATTAATTTAAATAATTTAATAAATGGCTTTTAGCTTTTTCATTTCAAATCAATACTCAGAAAAGATTGAGGTTTACTAGTAGTTGATATTGAATTGGAGATGCATCTAATAACATGTAATGCTTTATTTTAGAGGTATTACACATAAAAAGTAAGCTTGTTCACTAATGTATAAAATACAATAAATGAAGTTGATTTAAGGAGAATATATTCTAGAACTGTAATTACATTGTACATATTTCTGACTATCTATTATTAAACTCTTAAAAAAATAATTTTTAACATTGGAAACAGGAAAATGGTTTCAAAATCCAAAGCATTATCAATTTAATTGAATTTTTATTTAATTTTCTTTTGCTTTCAGGATTAATTTCTTACATTTGCTGTTTGCTTTCCTTGTGTTAAGCTAAATCGTAAAGAGAAATAAGTTTTCTTTTCGTTTGTTGCAAAATTTTTTGTCATATAATTTAAAATATTTGTACTATTTTTCATTGACTATTAATTCTACAGCAATTCTTTATAATTTAAAATAGTAGAATAGTTCGCAGCTTAAGATGTGCATTAGGTTTACATATGTAATATTATGCTAATATATATTTAGATTTTGGTGCTACAACTAAATTCTTTGAAGTGGAATGCTTTTCCTCAGATTGATTTTAAAGTTTTGTCTGCATACTGTAACATATTTGCGTTGCTACGCTACCGACATAATACGAATAAGAAATATAAAGAGAACTTGCGCATAAAATATCGGTGCTTGAAGATGCACATGCTAAAAGTGTTTTTCTGTTATTCTGTAAGATTGACTAATAAAGTTGTTTGTTCGATGAAAATGGCGAGATTTCTTTAAAAACTTTATTACAGGCGTATAAGTACCTGGTTGTAGTCACTGGAATCGGAATGTGGAACCAGTGTTTATTTAAAAAGAAGGGAATACAGGACTTGTAAGTATTGTTTTTTTTTATGAATACGGTGTCATTTTATGTGGAAACTCTTGGATTAAAGCATCAAAATAATTAGTCTGATTCGAATATTTCGATTTGAAATTTTGAGCTCTAAAATACAGAGTGGCAAATTTATTGCATTAATATTAAAATATATCTATATGAAAAATTTGAGCTGTTGTATTAAAGTGGGAAATTTGTATGTTATTATAATCCTTGTATTTTGAAATTTGAGTTCTTGTATTAGTTCCAAATCACAAAAGTATTTTGTTGTGTGAATAAATTTGAGCTCTTGTATTAGAGTAGCAGATTTATTAATTAGAATTAGAAAATTTCCATTGGAAATTTGAACTTTTATATTAAGAGTTAGAAATTGTGAATTTTATCGTGTGAATAAAGTTAGGTTTGAAAATTTGTATTAACTTTAGTATAATTTTTTAAGAGCAAGCTTTGTAGATTTTATTCAACGGAAAGCATATATTTTTATTGTATTGGGTGTTTTTTATATTTGAATTTGTTAATTTATAAGGTATTTCTCGTGCCTTCATGTTGTAGTGGTCAGCATACTTTATGTGTATTCAGGAGGTCTGGCGAGAGCACTTCTTATTTTTCATCTCTGCTGCTTACGAAAAATACGTAATGCCTCTACAGTGGCACCTGAACTAAAAGGTGGCGCATGATGATTCTCCACCACCAGGATTTGGAAATTGGGTCTTTTAATCTCCAGTCGTCCTTTAAAAGGGGGAATATATAAGGTATTTCTCCTGCCTTCGTGGTGTTAGTAGTCAGTACACTTTGCGTGTACTCGAGAGGACCGTGGTTCGAGTTCCGGTGAGGGCACTGTTCATTTTTTACCTCTCCTGCTTTCAAAAATTACTTAATATCTCTACATTTTTTTAAAAAAAACTTGATCGAGCAAGTTGATTTGAATATTGGCTAAAAGTCTTAAAATTAATTTTTGGATACGTGGTCCAAGCGTTTTCCCGTTTGAAGGGGAAAAAAAAAAAAAAAAGTTATTTCTTGTCAAGGTTTAATAGAATTTAAACCTTGTATCTGCTAAATTGCCAAATTTAGAAGACAGAAGTGTGTGAAGAACTAGGTGAAGTGCCGCTCACTAGTAAAGTGCCAGAAATAAAAAAATAATCACTGAAAGTCAATTTTACAACCATGAAGATGGTAAGTTAATTCTAAACAGAGTAATTGCTGATGGACGTCTAACTCTGGAAGTGAAAGAAGTCTGGCTCGGGACTAGGGAATAAACAATGAATATAGTAGAATGGAGCAATAAAATTCTGTAGTCATAAATTAATGTAACATTTGATGGCAAAAAAGATGAAATAGGACTACATTTGGTAAATGTTGAAAGAAAAGCTGAAATTGAAATGGCTCAGGTCCCTAGGAAAATTTGGGTGGCTTGGGGTGTTTTACCTACTGAAATCTCCAATATGAAAAGTATTGGAGAAATTAGGCTCATGAACCGTGTAAGTATTTTTCAGAGTGGATTGCGGATTTAGAAATTGGCATTTGAGAATCTGAAAGATTTAATAGTTACCGAGTAAATTAACTATAGGGTTCCGATGGAAGTAAAGGATCATTTTCTTAACAAATGGATTAAATTAAAAACTTCATATGAGCTAGCAGAAAGATTAGACAAGTATGAGAGTATTAAATAAAACCTCGTTAATGGTCAGGTATTCGAGAAGGGGATTTTCATTTTTCTTGGTGGTTAATCTATGGTTTTAATTGTGCATGAAATTATTGTGTAAAATTTTGAACTATTTGATTCTGTGGATTTGAACTTGTAAAGCTAAGTACAGTATTTTACGACATATAACACACGTCTATAATTTCGATTTGTATTTTCGAATTTTTAGGCATACTCGCTGTTATAGCGCACATAATTTTTTATGAAAAAACCTACCGTCCTTTTCCAAAAATAAGACACTGTCTTATTTTCTTTTTTGTTCCAAAATAAGCGCTAGGGCTTATTTTCGGGGGAGGGCAAAAAAAAAAGGTAAAAGTATATTTTTTATTTAATATTTATTTTGCACAGAATACAGAAATTTAAATTTATTCAATTAGTCATGTTATCTTCTTCTGGAACATCGTCATAAATAAAATTTTGAATTATATTCCGATTTTCTTCTAAATCCATTTCCTGTTGAATCATTGGTCCGAATCTCTCATGTCTTGCGATTATGCTATCGTTAAATTAATACTTCTTGTCTAAGTAGCCTGTTCGTAGTGCATTGGAAACATTACTATCAGTTATTTTGTCCCATGAATATTTTACCGAATTCACAACTTCTTGTAAGCCTGGTTTTACAAAATTACCTCGATGATTTTCACCATTCTGTTTTCAATATATTCATTGATTTCCATCCGCAAATGATCCTTGAATGGCTTGTTTATTGCAGTGTCAAGTGTCTCGAGGTAAGAATGACTGACTCTCAGCAAGAAAGTTTTTCATGTCTTTAGCGCGGTGAGTACTGGCTGAATCCCAAACTAGTAAACCTCTATTCTGACCCCTCAACAGTGGTTGCAGAACTTGGAAAGCTAAGTACCTTATTTGACGGCATATAACACACGTCTATAATTTCTATCTGTATTTTCGAATTTTTAGGCATATTCGCTGTTATAGCTCGAATCTAATTTTTTATGAAGAAACCTAAAAGATACATTTGTAATGCTCTCATCTCTTTGATGTCACTTATTCGAAGATTTGTTTTAGCCTTTCGAAAAATGGTATACCAGACTAAAGCGATAAGGGGAACATTATGTGTATGGGTGAAATGCTTTAGGGAGTATACATAAGTGCGAAGAGGGTGCGTTGTATTCAGTGCAAGTGTCCGAAAGAATTCTTTTGTAGCATTTCGAGAAAAAGGGGATGTAGTTTGGAGTAAGAATGCAGTTCCAACCTGAACGCATTCGCGTAACTGTGATTCAGACGTTTTCTGTTTCTGTGGTCGTTTGAAGTGAACATCTAAGGTTTTAGTTAAAATACAATTGAGCTAGCATTCTTTTTAGAAGTAAATATGGCTCTTGCTTGTTTCAGAATATATTATAATGGTTAAATATGGCTCAGAATAGTGCGGGTTTCAAATGCAAAGTCCTTCAGTTTGCAAAAGAAAATGGAAATCGTGCTGGAGCAAGGATGTTTGGAGTTGGTGAAAGATGGAATGGATGATAATTATTTATTTATGGATCAGAGTAACAGTGATGGTGAAGCTGAAGCTGTAGTCTATGATGTGCCTGAAGATATAACGGAAGAGATACGTTTTTCGTGTTATCCGATAACGAAAAGTTTCTTAGCTCAAAAGGTATGTAATTTCTTTTAAATAAACAGCATAAGTACATGTAAAAATGTAACGTTTATATGGTGGGTTTTTCCCTGTTTTTAAACTATCACTTTTATATCTGGCGTATAATTTCTCAATGAATTTAACTCTTAAAATTTCGACGATATTTTTGGTGTTTAAAGTGCGCGTTATACACGGGATTACATGGTGTGCTAAGCCTAGAGAGGCGGTTATTGAACGTTGACTTTTGTCGGTTAATATGGCCGAAAATAGTTTTATGGTGTGTTAAAAATTTTGCCAAGGTAAAAATTGAAGCAGCTCTCTAGTCGAAGTGCAACATGAATTGCTATCCGCGATGCCAGCGCTTTGATACGCCATCTAGTGGCTAAAAGGTGGAAACGTTAAAAATCGGTATTTACGTTTGACAACACTACGTAATTTCGGAAGCGTGTTGTGATTGAAAAGTAATTAAATGTTTATTTTTTATTGTTATGGGCATTATGCATAACTTTGAAGGAAGTACAGACCCCACGTTTTGTTGTGTATTCCAGTGTAATTCACGAGTTTGCAAGGAACCTTCCATCGCATTCTTGGTTCGAAAAATATCGAACAAGATAGAAAAACCAAGAAATGAGTGGATTCGCGTATTTTGAATTGGAAAGAAAGTTTGACATTAAATGAAAGTGCGTTCTAAGTATTAAAAAAAAAATACTGATTGTATTATTTCTCTTATAAATTTTTCTTTATATATGCAATATTTCGTTCTCGTATATTATATATATATACATAAATGGGTATGTGTGTTCTGCGAAAGTAAACATGCTTATTTGTGTATTGAAGTATAAATCATTATAGCTCATTGAGCTCTTAAATATTATTAATACACATACATGTACAATTAGGTATTCATGCATATTTTACCTGCAGAAGTTAAAATTCTGTTTCAGCTCATGTTAGCAATGATTAAAATGAAAATTTATAGCATGACACATGGTTTAGTGTATGCCCCTGCCAGATTGGTAGAAGCCTGGTGATCCTGTTATGATCAGATCTAAACAGATAAAGATATAAAATGTGAATATAGAATCTAAAGGGAAAGGTAAGATTAGATTAAAGTATTTGAATATGGCTAAGTACATTTGTTATCAGCCTTTATGAAGAACTTCATAGGGGAAACTGGTTGGTATACGCAAACCACATGAAAAAAAAAAAAAGTTTGACTGTGTAGATTTTCTGAAAATCACAAGCTAAAACACGTATGAAATCATTTGTTTACAATCAGTGAACGTTACAATCAGCTACCTATCGCAATACAATAAAACAGCGACACAATTTCCTACAACAGCGAGGAGTTCCTCCTTTACATGAACAAGAAATTAAAATATTTTTCCTTTCTTAGGAATAAAATGTCCTTCGATTTCATGTGATCAGGACGCTATAGAACTTATCCTTAAATAGGAAGACAAAATTTGTGCATTGGGTTTTTCAAGTAAAATTCCGTGCATTACAAAGTGATCCGCTTTAATTCTCTCTGCTTCAGTAATGCAGCGAGAATTTACACCACCTTGAAGAAAAGGAAACATTTCAGAAAAGCTAAGCAACTCCATTTTTGAATGTACGAGGTCATATCACGAATCAAAATACCGGTTTTTATCCGCCACACTAATGTGTGAAAGCGCCACCTATAGGTGAATTCAATCGCGGATTATAATATTACTGAATTCTTGAAGAGTATATATATTCCAAATATTCTTGAAGAGGGAAGCCATACAGTGGATAAGTTTGTGTTTCATTTCTAAAAATTTCGAACGTATTAAATCTTTAAGTTATCGTAAAACTTTGTAACGAGAGTCTTAAATATGTTTTCGTAAAACTGACTTATGAGGATAGTATAAAACAGTTCAAAAAGGTTGTGCTCGTCGTCTCGTTGGAGGATACCAAAAAGATTCTTAAACTAGAAATTAATTCTGTAGAGCAGTTTCCTAACGTTATGGCCACCGAGCGCTGGTGATCGTTAGACGTATGCCCGCCGCTGTGGGATCAGGGGAAAAAAGCGTTTTTAGTTTTCAATTAAATTCTATGTGGAAGTTTTCTCATTTTTAATCAATGAGGAATTGGGTGTAACACAGATAGATTGATAGAGGTAAACAGGAATGTGTTCCACGCCCTCCTCTAACTACAGCAAAAGCTTCCTCGAGCCACACCAGGCTACACAAGATTATTGAAAGGGATTGTGAAAGGGAAGGGCATGGTGCAACAGATGGTGCACAAACCGAAATTTCACCGATCTTTTTTAATATGCATGCATCTATAAATCACCTTGAGAAAGTAAATGGCCTTGCCTTGCCGAGCCGAGCCGTCTGGAATCTGGGGGGGGGGGTTTCTTTTTGATGGTTCCGTTTCGAGGTCTGGAATCTGGGGGGGGGGTTTCTTTTTGGATGGTTCCGTTTCGAGGGTCTGGAATCTGGGGGGGTTTCTTTTTGGATGGTTCCGTTTCGAGGGTCTGGATCTGGGGGGGGTTTTTTTTGGATGGTTCCGTTTCGAGGGTTGGAAAATGGGGGGGGGGGTTTCTTTTTGGATGGTTCCGTTTCGAGGGTTGGAATCGGGGGGGGTTTCTTTTTGGATGGTTCCGTTTCGAGGGTCTGGAATCGGGGGGGGGTTTCTTTTTGGATGGTTCCGTTTCGAGGGTCTGGAATCTGGGGGGGGGGTTTCTTTTTGCGCTACGACTAAACTCTTTACAAGCGGTATGCACTTTGCGTTAAATGCCTATGGACGGGCTATTCACGTCGCTCCCGAATTGAAACAAAAACATCTCGACATGCTCAGCACGTCTTTTTAGCGCAAGTAGTTAAATATGAAACTAATACAATTTCTGAAAGTCCTTTATTGAAAACGTTTCACATACTAATAAACTAATTTGTTTTCTATTCTTGCAACATATCCTCGTCAGACACACCCTTTATTACAGCTACATTCTGTAATGAAAACGTTAAAAAAAACTTTTTGAGAACTTTCAAAAATACATACATTCAAATGCATCAGTACAATTTGCAAAATATTTCAAAGAGCAATCTCATAATCACGCAAAATTTAATACCCCTCAATACAAAATGTATGAAATAAATTAGTTAATTTTTTTCAATTAATTCCTAAATTACTTTTTATCCACACACCAGCAAAAACCTTTGGACACTTCATATCAATAAAAGAATTGACGTGGTGTCAAATATACTCACCAAAAAAACAACAGTTGTAAACAGCAGCTCTAAAGAGATAAATACAATGCTGACATTACAAAACAATTTTCGACATACCATGTCACGTGCAATCGAGTTCTTCAACGTCAGAATATGACCCTATATAAATACTTAGGAATTCATTCTTCCTTCCAAAGAATGAAACAATTTTATTCATATTGAAATATTTTGTGCACTTAAACCCTAAAATTCAATTCAACAGCAATATCCCAAAATGATAACATCTATAGAATTTCCAATACACAGTCTCGTGCGTTGGAAATCTCGTTTTTTCTATAAAACGTTCCCACTCCTCCTTTTGAAATCCTTGTTCGTTAAAGTTTTATACAAAATATGAAATAGAAAATAAATTCCAAATTTGGGCTTCCAGACGCCCATATTTTAAGTTATATATTACGTTATTCAAAATTGGATGACTCTAGGTACCGTTGTTTTATCACAGTATGACAAAAATACTTACATTCATCCAGATTCTTCATTATTTAATTTCTTCAAGGTTTTAATATTTAGTGCGAACAATCTGAAAATTCGATCGATATCTCAAAGCAACATGCCAAAACGATTTTGTCCTTCTGAGGAAACTGCCCGTTTGGACTATCAAATATACTGTATCCTCTGAAGAACTTAATTGTTTCCTTTCGTGTCAAAGGACCTGACAAAAAAATTGCCTTTTTGCGGAAAAAACATGCCTTTTTTTTTTTTCAAATTTTAAGAAACTTCACTCGCATGAAACTAATAAAACTTTTTTCATCGGTTGCGTACTTTTTGTTTGGCGTTCCTTGAAAAATGGAAAATCAAAAGGAAAATTTTCGTCATATTTTGCTTTTTTTATTTCCGCAAAAGGAAAAACGCATCGCAAGCTCATAAAAAGTTATGTGCTATTTATGGTGACGAAGCCTTAAAAGAACGCCAGTGTCAAAATTCGTTTGCCAAATTTCGTTCTGGTGATTTTTCACTCAAAGATGAAAAACGCTCTGGTCCTCCAGTTGAAGTTGATAACGACCTAATCAAAGCAATAATCGATTCGGATCGTCACAGTACAAACGTGAGATTGCAGAGAAGCTTCAGGTATCACATACATGCATTGAAAATCACTTAAAACTACTTGGCTCTGTTCAAAAACTCGATACATGGGTTCCTCACGAACAGAAAAAAACGCATTTAACGCAACGCATTAACAGCTGCCATTTGCGTAATGAAAATGATCCCTAAAGAAAGAACTAAAGAAACGTAATGAAAATGATCCATTTTTAAAACGACTGATAATTGGCGATGAAAAATGGGTTGTTTACAACAATATCAAGCGGAAAAGATCGTGGAGCAGTCCAGGTGAGCCAACTCAAACAACATCAAAAGAAGGTTTTGTTATCAGTTTGGTGGGATTACAAAGGAATTGTCTACTTTGAACTCTTACCACCCAACCGAACGATCGATTCTGATGTCTACATTGAACAACTAACGAAATTAAACAATGCAGTTGAAGAAAAGCGGCCCGAATTGACAAATTGAAAAGGTGTTGTATTCCATCATGACAATGCAAGGCCACACACATCTTTGGTCACTCGGCAAAATTATTGGAGCTTGGTTGGGATCTTTTGCCACATCCACCATATAGTCCTGACCTTCCACCATCTGATTACGTTTTGTTTCATCTTTACAAAACTCCTCAATGGTAAAAATTTCAAAATGATGATGTAATCGTACCGATCGTTTTTGTTATTACCCAAAGTTTATGAACGTGGATTATGATGCCTGAACGATGCAAGGTATGATCAAATGGCGGACATTACAGAATAAATTATTAGTCATGAAAAAATGTCTTGATTTCTAAAAAAATCCGCAATACTAGTTGCCAACACAATATATTTACATTTTAAACCTCGTCATATCTTCCGAAACGAGATAAGATATCATAAGTTTCAAGAATTGCAATTGGGGTTCTTAATTAAAACACAAAGGGTTTTTTTTTCAGCCTGAAACGTCTCTAGAAAATCTAATTCACCAATGGAAGATATTTTTGGAAAATTATTCCAATCCTTCAATCTTTAAGGAAATTCTTTTATTTATCTTCTTTCATTAATAGATGGCGACAATAGGTAAACTTCTGCCTAGCCGTTCTTACCTTATCTCATTCATTTGCACTTAGGCAGCCGAGGGAGATGATTCTCTAGTTAAACCATCGAAATTAGCGCTGCAAAATTTACAAATATCCCACTGATTCTTGTTGTTTGATCTCTCCAATAATCATTATTCTGCGTATTACTTTAACCTAAACTATACATGCAATTAAACACTAATATTTCTCATTTTTTGTAACGATTAAAACATTTCTTTACACTAAAATGAAGTCAGTTCTTTAAAACCAATACCTACTTCAAATTCAATCATCATCTATTTTTAAATATAATATATCATTATCATTACTGAATTTAAAGTTCCCATAATATTAAAAAGCATTCATTTCTGTTCCTAATTCAATGAATTATTTGTAAACTTATTTTTTAACATAATATTATAGGAGAGTTTCTGAATATCTTCTATACGTCATATTAAATTTAAAAATGAAAATATTTTAAAGCTGACACATCTTAAAGAGCAGTAGCTTTTTATCCTATCCATTAGAAAATTAATTTATAGCAGAAGTCTTTTACTAAATGCTACGAAATCAATAAAAAATAAAATGAAACATATTTACCTTTTCAATATATGTTTTACTGACTTCTAAATCTTCTATATCCATAATTTTTCCTTCGGATTTTTTTATCAACTCTTCATTGCTATTTTCAAGTTCAGGTAATAATTTATTAACTCGGTCTAACACTAAAATAAAAAAAGAGACAAAATTTATAAAATACCGACAGACATACAATAAACTCTGACATTAAATTCAAAAGCATTTCACAATACTCATTCATTAGCTCATTCATTAGCAATACTCATATATTAGCAATAAATAAATAAAAATACACAGATACGCAAAATTTAATATTAATTTCCAAGCTGAAAGTGTTCATTAATCCATTCTGAGCATTAACAGCTTACATGAAATCTAAGATTGTTCAAAATTGGAAATTCATTATCTGAATTACTTGTTGAAGGCAATTTAGAATAAAGTTCCCTGTTACATGTAAGAGAAACATGCCAATGTAACACTTCAAATTACGCAAAACAGAAACCTTAGAATGGCATAGATTGTAACTTTCATTTCACTGACATTTACATTATAAATTTTGAAGTCAAATTATTGGACAAACTACTATTTTGACTCTGGATCCACTGTATTCATGACTCTTTTACTAACAAGACGAAGAAGACCCATACAGAACAGGCAGCAAACCTGCTTTTATTCGTCGACATCTGGTCTGTCACATAGTTTGCCATATGTTATCTTAATAACTAGATTAGCTCATCGCGAACATTTATCTTAATTTAAACAATAGAAGTAACTTATTACCTCCTGATCTTTTTTCAAAATTGTTCATTATGTTATTTCTTTTAACCCCTCCCCCCGACCAATGCCTCTCTTGCAAGTGGATGCACTTTCTTTTCGGATTCACCCCCCTATCAAAATTACCAGCAATTCGGATTCTGGCAGGTGTTTACTAAATTTGGAGTCCATTCTCAAAGAAGCGACAGCTGCGGCTTCAAAACCAATATTCTATCCGGGTGTCAGACTGCCACCTGAGACTAAATCCAAAATAAAGCAGCGGAACTTTTTGCTAAACCTTTGGCAAAGGTCGCGTGATCCCAGTATCCGCGCCCAATTTCGCAAAATACAGAACGAGATAAGGACTGAAACCCGTCTCTTCAAACAGACGGAGTGGAAACACTACATTGAGTCCTTAACGACTGAAGACATTTCGATTTGGCGGGCTGCCGCTCGAATACGCAAACAATCCAGACACATTCCGCCCCTTCAAACGGCCGATGACGCACGGATGGCTTACACAGACACTGAAAAGGCAGAAGTCTTAGCCTACAGCCTTTCTACTCAATTCACTCCTAATAACGACGCCTACTGTAACCGCCCGGTTACTAAAGGACGTATACATTCACGTGTTGAAGAGTTTTTAACACAACCTTTCACGCCTGAACTTAGGCCCACTGATCCTAAAGAGGCGATGAAATACATCGACTAAAACCCAACAAGGCTCCAGGCATAGATTCTATCTCTAATCGCATGATTACAAATTTCCCTGTAATGTTTATTGTTTGGATTACGGTCCTTATTAATTTTATGCTAAGGTTCTCCGACCGCAGGAAAATTGCAACGGTCGTCCCCATTCCAAAAACGGGGCAAAATCTAAACTTACCCGTCAACTACAGACCAATTAGTCTGCTTTCCTCACTCTCAAAAGTATATGAATATGTCTTACTTAATCGCTTGAATGAATTCTGTCGAGATCAAAACTTAATCATCCCGGAACAATTCGGCTCCAACCTAAAAACTCCACGGTACACCAGTTACTACGTGTAGTGGAATTCATTCATGAAGGCTTTCGTAAGCGAGAGAATACTGGAATTGTCTATCTTGACACAGCTAAAGCCTTTGACAGGGTTTGGCTGACGGACTTATTTACAAGCTCATGCGACTTGGGGTTTCCGGCTCACATCATTAAATTATTAGCTCGTACTTACCCGGACGAAGCTCCGCGTACGATTAACCACGAAACTCTCCTCTCGCCCGATGGTTGTCCTCAGGGCAGTCTTGTCTCATCTCTGCTCTTCAATATCTATATGAACGACGTGCCTAAGGCACGTAGTATCGATTTAGCTTTATATTCAGACGATACGGCCATCCTAACTCAACATACCAACATCACCACGGTAATCTCTACATTACAGAGTTACCTTTCAGCCTTAGAACTCTGGCTCCGACTGTATAAAATCAAAATTAATGTCGCTAAATGTGCTGCCACTTTATTCATCCGAAGAAACATCCCTCGTTTAGATAATCTAATTCCTTCGGTGAACCTATTCCCTGGGTTACTGCTTACAAATACCTTGGTGTTTTACTAGACTCAAAATTAACTTCAGATTCAAAAAATTATTGCGAATGCGGAAGCTGTCAAAGCCAACCTGCGTCCCTTTTTCGCTAAAAAAAGACCTGTCACTTGACAACAAGATCTTGCTTTATAAACCTATCATAAAGCCTATTCTCACTGACGCGAGTCCCATCTGGGGCTCAGCTGCTCTGACTAACCGTAAACACATCCAAATTTTTCAATCAAAATTTTTACTACCTAAGGGGGCATTTAAACGTCGCACTAAACAGCGACCAAAAATTTTCTTTTCCTCCATCACCTATTACATGAACTGCTAACCCGCCCAGCGGTTCCCCCACCCCTTTTTGCCCAACTTCGGATTGCTGTCCTAAGGATTTTAGTTTACTGTTGATATCAAGAATCAAGGAAATGTATTGCACCTTTTTATTCTTTTCAAAATTTTTTCGAATTTTCAAATTTTTACGGCAGATATTAAACGCTCCATGGTTCATAAGGAACGATGACATTCATAACGACCTCAAAATTATGCCCGTTAATCGCTTTATACAGCGACTTTCGGAAAGATTTTTCGAAAATATCCATCTTGTTGGAAACCCAGTATTACATACCCTGCCGGTATATGATCCTGCGGTTGCCTCTTCTAAAAACCGACCCAGAGCAATCTTACAACCTAAATATGCTCAACTACCTTTTAAACGGCGTCGGTATTGAAATACAGACGCCCAAGTGGATGCTTACCTCTCGTTCCTAAACCCCAACCGCCCCCGCGTTAACATGCGTAAGGGCATTCACCGGAGGAACCCTGTACTAGAGTCTTTTAACAAGGGACAATTTATCTCCGCAGCCACACGCGACTGCATTTAATTTCTCAATAGCTTTTTTTCCACCCACTAAACGGGTTGCTTTCGACCCCCCGTCGCACTAAACAGCGACCAAAAATTTTCTTCTCCTCCATCAGCTGTATTACATTGAACTGCTACTAGAACCCGCCCAACGGTTTCCCCCCACCCCTTTTTGCCCAACTCTTCGGATTGCTTGTCCTGAGGATTTTAGTTTACTGTTGATATCAAGAATCAAGGAAATGTATTGCACCTTTTTATTCTTTTCAAAATTTTTTCAATGTTGAATCTTCTCTCAAAATTTATTCCAAAATTTAATTTTTAGACAAGAAATTTAATTTAAAGACTTTCAAAGAGTTTTCCTTTTTTCTCATGAAGAAGGCATTATCTGAAAAGCTTTTATTTTTATAATTAGGCTTCAAAATGTTTCCTTATTAGATCAACCCCTCTTTTGAAATGATGTGGAGTTAAATGCCTAGCCTAGCGCACTCCGTAAATTAACTTCCTTGATCCTTGATTCACCATTGGCCAAGACGACCAGTAGCTCTGCCCTCTTCACTCAAACACTTCCAGAGACAACACCTTCAACTCAGACGAGCTCTCGCCATTCTGACGCTAGCACGCAGCAACAGATATGCCTTACTGCATGCCTAGGTTTTCGATAACACTTGCATTTACACAGCCAGACATCTATAGGAGAACTATCTCAACGCCTGCTGTATCTGAAGACTCTAAAATTGCCCTTTCACGAGATTTTTTATCTCAATTACGAACTTTGTCACTTTAGGTTAGAAAAGATATGCCTCTTTTGTACCAGTTCTACACAGGATGTGGTTTTATAACCCGGGTGCCTGCTGACAAGTGTTTCTGACACCTGAGTCTTCATACTTTTATCATTTACAAAATTGCTTGCATTCTCCAAAAAATCAAATTTCAGGTCATTTGCTCATCTATCAGCAAAATTCGTACTTTGATTCTTAAATAAAAATTTATGATTTTAAATATTAAGGAATTTACTATATATTTTGTCACTCTCGTTTGCCATACATCAACCAAACTAAACAGTATTAAAATTTCATGTCAAGAAGCACCAATCTTATGTTGAAGAGGAAGAAATAAATAAATCTTCAATACCTAATCATACTTCGACACTCTGTCGCAATTTTTACCCCATTTAAGAAAATTTACCTCTCCAAACAAAACAAGAAAAAACCTGAAAGGTTTCAGATTTTAAATTACGTCCAAAAGGGCGTTTTTTTTTACATTTTGAGTGTTACTTTAATTTATTAGATACCATGTTCTTCGCATTTAAACCATAAAATTCAGTTCAACAGCAATATCGCAAAACAGTTTTAAAATAATTATATCTTTAGAATTTCCGATACAGAGATTCGCGCGCTGGAGATAAAAATGTTTTTTTTCTTCAACGTTGCCATCGCTCGCTTTGAAATCCTGGAGTTTGTTAAATCAAAAATTCGTTAAAGTTTTAAAAAATAGGAAATCTATAATAAAACAAATTCCAAATTTCAAATTCGGTCTTCCACATGCCCACATTCACAGGAGGATGACGTCATTCAAAATTCGATGGCATTAGGTACCGTTGTTTTATCACAATGCGAGAAATATACACGCATTGATGCATATTTTTCATTATTTAATTTCTTCAAATATAATGCAGGACTCTCACATTTGGGGGCAATAGTTTGAAAAGTGAAACGGACATTTCTAGTGAACCATCGCAAAACGAAAACAATACTCCTTCAGGGACAATGTCCCTTTGGACTAATAAAGCTTCTTTCACTGGTGAATAGAATTTCAATACAAATTATATCAATTAAAATAGAATGTCCTATACAAATGGATCTACATTGGGCCCACTTTGCTAATTCCTTGCATTTTCAAATTAATTCAATTCACAGGTGTTGCATCACAAATGGATCTACTTTGGGCCCACTTTGCTAATTCCTTGCATTTTCAAATTAATTCAATTCACAGG